CCTTCCAAAGCAAGTTGAGCGTTCTTCCCATACTCGAGCATATGTGCATGCGAATCTGATCGTGACGGTGAGAGGGTGGTCTCTCGTTAAGCCTTAGAAGGCAGAGAGCAACTGAACGCACCACTAAGCCCTGGGACGATGATAGCATCCTCTGGGATGAAAGTAATATCGTCGGACCACAGGCGACTGCGTGTTCTGTCACGGATCTCATCTGGGAGCATTATAGTCAGAGCGATGCCATCAATGCCGACCCAGGCCCAGAAAAATCTGATGCAAACTCGCTAGAGTGGCGGCCGGTATAAGAAACGTAAAAAGGGTCGTGTTGAGTTGAAAGGCAAATCGGAATCCTCACTCACCGAATGTACCGACAGCATCTAATTTAGAACCACGAACTGATACACACTCTGCAACCGAGTTTTCCGCATCGACAGTATAGATGGACTGTTGTCCGGGGGCAGAACATAAAACGTATCGTTCCTCTCTGGTCTGGCGAAAGTAAATCGTGCCGACAGCTACTGCTGCGACTGCCCATGCAATGAGAGTTGACCTTGGCGTTGCTGTCATTTTTCTGGTTACTAGGTGTGTGTAGGTGAGTGGTCGAAACGTGGGGAATTTTGTTATGGTAGGGGGGCCTTTTATATTCATCCTGGGCGCTTACAGGGGAACGGAAAAACGGCAACGCCATCATACATTACTGTAGAATACGAAGGTAAAAGGATTACCTTTGTGCTGAGAACAAAGAAGAGCCCTGGGTCATTTTTGACAGAGCCCTCCACAGCATATGTTTTTCCCATGAAACACATAGGGCGCAACAAAACTCCGCTCAAAGCTTAAGCTGTGTTGTATACTCGATATCGTCGAATGTTAATACCGATAGAAGGCGTTCACTCACCCGGAATAAGCGAGAAGGGCGCAAACGGTCGAGTAAATGAACTGAATAGTCTTGTAAAGGTACAGCACCGTCGTGGGTCGCACAGGACAACGTATATAAGTATAGGTGATAGGAGAACTTCGAGGTGAAAGGGACAGTACGTGAAAGGAATATGAAGAGCTGTTAAGGCGTGGTTAAAAGGTCGCCATGACGAGCTAAGTAACGTATCATAGATGTATAGCACAAGGGACAGGAAAAACTTGCAGCTACTTCGAGAAAAGGAAAGGAGAATAACGCTTATCCTTAAATTATAACAAGTAAAAAAAAATCACACGCCTACAGCTTCTTCCGGAACCGTCTTGGAACAAAGGCACTCAAGGGGGTGGGCTCTTCCCCGTCCCCACTGGGAAGAAAGGCTCTTCCATCGATTAACACAGGCTTTACATCTTCAATCTCTTCGGTGTTGAACGGTGATGATGGTGTGGGCGGGAGATGCGGTTGAAGTTCTGCTTCGGCGAACGGAGTAGGGCGATACTTTGGTTCCGTTGACTCAGTCGTGATGAGCTGAATATCCGAACTCATTGACATCGGTGTGCCGCTGGTACTCCTGTTAGGATTGAGTGGTGGTGCATCTGTAACGATGTTCAGGGAGTTCTGATTCACCTTCTCCGTCAACCTTGGTCCATAGAGAAACGTCTCGTCGTCTTCGTCATCCACTGGCATACCTGAATCGGGCTCAACAAGTAGATGGGCCAGCGGATGTCCCCATAACGACTGCGAAACCTCTGCTCCTGCAGCAGGAAGTATCGACGTTGAACTGGTCGATGGCCCTGCTGCATTAGAGCTGGACATAGCCTCCCTCAGTCGCCGAATCTCCTCCTTAGCAGCCCTCACAGACGCCAAAAGTGTCTCCTAGGGCCTCTGTTTCGACCCGTTCATATCCTCCGAGATCCTGATCACCTTTGCACGTAACGGCGATACCGCATTCCCAAACTCTTTCCCCACCACAACTCCAAGCCACGCTAACTCAGTCGACACAGCAACCTTAACGGCTCGCTGAATCGTAATTTCTAGGTTGGCACCAGTGCGAGTAACACTAGCACCAGCACTAGCGCCCAGATTGGACCTCTCCAAAGTGTTCCAGACCCCCGTCTCAACCTCCTCTCTTATAGTCCTATGCAAACTCTCCCGAAGATCCAGTCGTTTGAAATTGAAAGGCATACACTGACAGAAGTATAAGGCAGCGCCAGGCCGAGCTAGTCACTATATCCAATCATCATTTTCCCATAACTCCGTTATGGTGTAGTGGCTAACATTATCGCCTCTCATCTGGTCCTGTATAAGATAGACGCGATAGCCCAGGGTTCGATTCCCTGCAACGGAATCTGTGTCGGAAGATTGATTTTTCTTCAGCTTCTTCTGAGGCCGGGAGACGTTTGCGTGCTCACCGGAATTGATCTCTCACCACATTCAAATTGTTTGGGTACGAAACTTGAGCTTGAGGTTGAAGCCTGTCTTTGCCGTCGCCATTTTTCAGGTCAAGTAAATCTCCCGCGCGAAGACTGTCGGAATGGGACCTCACCAACGGGACAGCTTCTAGTTAGGTCTGTGCCCGATCTGTCTGTGACGATGGCAAGCATGCAGAGATGATAAGTATTGTGTGATAGGGCTCCCAGTTCGCCGGGATGCTGTGTCTGTTCATAACGCATGACAGGTGCCCCAGCCCACGCATTCCGTTTCGGCCTTCTGACCCCACATAGGGAAAAAAAAAGAAAACAAACAAGAAATTAGAGTTTAATTGCAGATGTCTAGACAGATTTTTTGAGGTCCAAATGGCACCTCACTTTGTCCATTTTTTGTGATTTTTACAGATTGTGGACCCTTGAGCCGTCGTAGCTAGATCGTTCCGGACACCTACTACGCTTTCAGACACTTCAGCGCGGCATGGGCGATTCACTAGGATTTGGATCAGCTGGTGACTGCGCTGGCCTCCCCGAGTCGTGTCTGTCCGGAGGAGGATTGAGAAACTCATTGAAATTTAGGCCCTGACACAAGGCTCTTCCGTAAAAAAATGTGTCAAAACGTAAGTATCATTTGTATATACAGTTTTTGTATAGACAGCTGCTGTCTACACTCTATTGCGCAGTCGCCCTCACATATGTAAACGTTAACGTTTTGGGGACTAGGCTCACGTAAACCGTGCGAACAATTGAGTGGCTGAAGATACTGACTCTGATCAACATGGCCTCTCCAAACTAAGTTGCTTCAACACAATCCGGAATTCTACTTCGTGTTCAATAAAAGGCCAGAGACCGTTGTCCATCATGATGATACAGGCTTTGATACCCGGAAGGGTTTTACAATGAATTCTGGATTCTACAGAAGGGAATGTGTGGAGAAGTCAAGCGTCAACATCAAAAAATCACCACTGAGGAAACTGCGGCCAATTGGTACTGCAAATATCGCAAGATGAAGATAACTTGCCTGAGACGATTTCTACGGCCGAAAAGATCGTTTCCGTCTTTGCTTGAGAAATCTAGAGCAGAATATGTACCGAATTTCCGTAATTGTGGCATTTATCCCGCCTAACCATAGTCCTTCAGCTGTCAATTCGAGTTATTTACGAGACATTGTGGTACGAATCTTCTGGCCTGGTTGAAGCTTTTACACGTGCCACGCATCGTAACTGTGCTCACCCACGGTATTCGTTCCATTGCCTTTTGTTGTAGGAGCACTGAATGGAATCAGTGGGTCGTTGACCAAGCGTTGGCTGTAGCCTCCCTTGATATTTCAAACCTTAACCTTTGTTACAGAGGGAACAACAAAACCCGAGAAATAAATTTCATTGTGACAATAGTCCGTTGTAACGAGTCATGATGGCAACAAGTCGGTATGTATATCTTTAACTAAAAACCCAGCGTCAGAACGACGTCAGCCACCTTCTGAGGTGCATTACCCCCAGTCCAGTCGTTGTAGAACGACATTGCATCTGTCTTGGACATGAACATGATCGTGAAGCTTTCATCGTCATTCCGTTGACCCCGTACTCTGTTCGAACAGCGTCGGCCGGCCGGAACTAACTCTATGATCGATTTCGCTCCCTTCGCCCAGGAGTCGTAGGCGTCGGGCTGCATATTGGAGACGTGAATATGATACGGGTGTGTATCTGTCATTGCCCGAGGATGTTGCAAGGAGTGAGCTGGGCAATGGGATTCAGCCGCGGCAACCGGGAGGTGAGGCTCTGTTGCAGCGCCTGTGGACCACACAGCTTGTCCAGGAGAAGCGTACGTCGAAAGGTGTGGCTGAACAAGTGGCCATGAGGGAGCGCCAACTGGATATCGAGACGGCACCGTAGGGAGCTGCTGGACGACCGGTCCCATAGCGGTATGATAACCAGAGCCTGAGCTGCGTACATCATGTAGAGGAGTAATTGATGGGATTGGTGTGGTGGGCCTCGCAATGTTGGACAACGAAGCTGCGATGCTGTGGTGGTCTGGTAAATTGCTAAGTACGCAACTGACGGTCGATGACTTCTAATCTCACCGTCGACTCTGGCCTTCTTACGCGGAAGTGCGGCATTGTATTGGACGCTTTTCAAAGACCGGATCTCTCGTTCCTGCTCTTCAACTTTGTTCTCCAGACGTCGTATCCTCAACTGGATGCCCTCCAGAACACCGACGAATTGATCTGTATGTGGAACCACAGTATTGGTGTTTGCATGGAGTATGTCGGTGGTGTCACTTTGTGCGTTAACCGCGCTGTATAGGAGGGGTAATCGTGTGCCATGGTCGGCTTCAGTTATCCGAAGTCGGGAGTCCATATCTGTGGATGTGGTGTAGGTCTCCTTCTGGTGCGTTGGTGAGAAAACGATTCGTAGGAAGAGAGAGGCTTTTATACTCACCTCGAGTGATCTGAGAAGAAGAACCCGGTACACGAGAAACGACACTATCGTAATGGTTCATCGACAAGTCTTTCTCAGGAAAGTCATCTGAATGAATTAGATTTTCGGGAATTAACCATCGACAGCCCCCGTCGTGGCCGAGAAAGATGAAATGCTCGTCCTAAATGCCTCTGGGGAGCAAGGACTTCTATGTTCATGTGGTTTGATATATGCAAACTTCCACAGCAGCGAGATCATAGCACGCACCGCGTTACGAGCAACAAGGTGTGGCTTCGACAATACTACGGTGCATACTCCCCCTCTGACGTTTATCGGTGTGAATCATTTTCACGAGGGTACTCGATGGCCTACAAAAGACTCTTACCCGCGATAGGCAGGGTTGAAGGGTGAATGGAGAGTAGAAAAGTCGGGATGAGGTAAGTAACGTAGTGAAGGTGTACAATATACGGGTAGGCCGTTGATACTTCCAGACTCGACGAGTAGCATATCTGGCTCAGGAAAAACCGTTCTGACACTTGTGTTGCTGTCGAGATTGAGCGCTTAGCAGTGGCTGATCCGCGGCAACGTCCAAAGAGTTCTGATTTACCTTCTCCGTAAACGTCGGTGTGGAGAAAAATGTCTCGTCCTCGTCATACACAACCTCTTCTCCTGTAGCAAGAAGTACCAACGGTGGACTTGTCGATGGTTCTGCTACATAGAAGTTAGATCCAGTCTCCCTCGATTCCTGGTTCCCATCCCTGATGGCTACGATAGACACTGAGATTCCCTTTTCCTCTGCTTCGACCCTTCATATCATTTTAAACGCTCACCGCCGCACGTGACGGTAGCTCTGCACTCTGAATGTCCGTCTCTATCGTGTTTCTGAGCCCCACTAATCGGTTGACACAGCAGCCTTCATAGCTCGTGAGACCGTCATATCCGGATCCCCTTAGCGCCAGCGCCCTTCCAGACCTCTCCGAAGCGCTCCCAACTACACTCTAAATCTCTTCTACTAAAATCGTGTGCAAACACTGGATAATCTCCCGCTCCATTTCCTCCCTTGCACTCTTGAACTCTCTTTGGGAACCTTTCTGTGGACTCTGTAACGCCCCACAATTCGGCAAATGAAGATCATTCTGGCACGTCTCCGAATCTATGTTATTCTTTGTGAGTTGCAGGGGCACAGACGCTTCGATGACCTGGCAATGTGGTCTGACAGGACCTGACCGCCCGCTGCTGTTCAGCCACCAACATACCAAAATCCTGTCGCCTCGGACCTCCGCATGCAACGGTGATATCGAATTTCCAACCTTCTTCTCCATAGCCCCTGTGGCAAATCCGACTCGAGGTAGGACCCCCGAAAGCCCACCGGGGGGTCGTTCTCTCCGGTAGGCCTTTATTCCCTACATATGGGCACGGAGAATGGGACTAAATTGTGACTTGTCCAACTCTAAAACGGCCCCCGGTTTCCCCCATCTTTCCGCCTACGGCACTAGGGGTCCTAAGAACCTTATACATTGGATTACATCGAGTATTGCTTGTCCTATGTGCCTCGCAACTTTTCTGACAGTAGCGGTCGATTGGCGAGCCGGTTGACTGGCGTGAAGGGCCTGTCATTTTTGAACCACGACATTGGTTTGGTAAGATTGACCTTTGACAACTGCTCAGGTAGCTCTGCCTCTGGGAGCTGGGCAACTGAATGAGACGAGGAATGGAAGTTGTTGGAATCCTCTGGCGAAACTTCGAGGAGAGCATTTTGAGCATTGAAAACTTCAGGAGGGAGGTCATCAAACCATTTTACACCGCGGCCCATTTTGAGAGCCTCACGCAGTGGCCAGCACAAATGTTATAATGAAGATCATGATGTAACTGGAAGCAAGTTCACGAGAATCACATTTTGATTCGTTTCGCCTCAGGATCCGACTCAGTACCCCATTTTGCCTGTCGAACATACTTATTTGAATCAGTACGCGGTTTCTACCTGTGATCGCACATAAAGTCAATCACCATCGGCAAAGGCTTTGACTTTCCGAGCGTGAAGACTTTGAATAGCCGACTGAACGTATGGAACGGTAGCACTAGTATTCGCGACAACGTCCGAAATAATTGTGTTGGCGTTACTGGTGGTCCCAGCGTTGACAACGGGTCATTTGGACGACGAACATCCTAGTTAGCCCATAGAGAGGCGTAGTTGGTTGCGAGAAGGATGGGTATGAATTCTCAGGTTTTCGACCGCCGTTAATGATAATCATGATTCATCTGCACCAACTTTCTCAGGGGCAAGCGCGGTTGGAGAGAAACACTCGTGGTCCCTGTCAGTGAGCAATACAGAAAGCTCTGGTGGTACCATTCTGAAGGCTGGTTGGTTAGTTTAACGAGTGCCGTTTATCGATGGAAAAATTGGTGCCTACAGAAGGTCGCTCATCCTCGTCGATTTTCGGTCTGGGGTCGCCTTTGTACGCCTTTTCTCCAGTGGAGCATTGGCGAGCAAAAGGCAGGATAAGATAAGTTCCCTCTGCCAAGTCGCGCTGAGGGAGAAAGAGGGGAAGGGAGCTGACAAAGTCAGCTCAGAGCAAGCGTAGAGAGGCTGTACGATGTAGTATAGTAGACGCTTGCTCAATATGAGTTGTGTGGGTTTTGCCAGAGGCCGGGCCTGGGCTCGCTGGAGGCACGTGAGATGCACATCGAAAGTGCACATGGAAATCTCGTGCTCGGACGCGTGCAGAAAGGCAGGCGCGTCGAGAGGAAGAGCCCCGAAGCGGGAGAGGACCGGACTGAGCGCTCGAGTGCAGGAGCTCCTAAGCCGAGGAGACCTGGGCGGCACCTGCTGTACCCAGCGCTAAGAGGACTGCTCGTATGGGGATGGTGGGAGGGACGAAAAAACGAGCCACGGAGAGGAGAGGATGAGCGACGGAAGCAAAAGGCGAACGCGTCGCGCGAGTGTCACACGGGAGTATTTCTGTGTGACACTCAAACTCAAGACTGGCGCAGGCGCTCAGGGCGTCTGTCTCTTATCTTATCCTGTGATAAGAAACCCAAGTGAATGGGGCTGTGTCATTTCTGACACCTGGGTCAAGGTTCCTTAACGTTCCAGTCTTGTCGGAGAGGATGTACTCGGTTCTGGCCCAAGTCCACGCTTTACAAACACTAGGCTGTTTCCACAAGCACAAGGGTTAATGAATCCTTTCCAGGTATAGAGATAGAGAAAACCTGTAAAATCCATAACAAATCGTGCTACTAGAGATATTCAGACCTTCTTGGCGTACCAATCAACAGCCTTCAAGTCCTAACGACCACAGTATTCCACCAAGAACAGGCATATCGAAATGTCTAATTGTCGTCGATTTCGATTTCTCGCGTACAGAGATTTTGGAAGAAAAGTGTGTGAACCGTAAGTACTTAAGTACCTGAGAGTCAAAAAAGCGTAGAGTAACCATACCAGTTTGAACGGTAGATCTGGATCCCAATCTTGAGTCTAGTTCGTTGTCGTCGTCGCAGACGATGGGCAAAGGCGGTCGTGATTGGTAATGACTATGGATGACAAACCACGGTCCATAGGCATTGTGGACCCGGGTTTGCGGTCCTACACCTCTGGTGCCTGTGGCCCGAACTTGAGAGGTGCATCCTAATTTCTGCACCCTGTATCCGGAGCTCCAGCTACGCCCGGTCGTACAATGATATTTACTTCGGATCCCCAAGTCACCCCTTGAAGAAAACGTTTACACATGGCTAGACATATCATGTATTTGTCGACATTACAACGATCCGTTATGGTGTAGTGGCTAACATTATCGCCTCTCATGACTCGCCAGCTAGATCTTGAACGCGATAGCCCAGGGTTCGATTCCCTGTAACGGAATTAGGATCTTTTCTACGCTGGTTTTTTGGGCCTGTGGGAGTGAACTTCGAAATAACACTTTTCGGATGAGTAAGTTCGAATCATCACGTTATCTCCCCAACCTCGGAATTTTGACGTCGACAATGAAAGTGTTTCGAGAATCGGCAATCGCGTCAAAGTCAGTTGTCTTTACTCGGGGATGGCCGAGTTCTGACTCTGAGTGAGTAGGCGCTTGTAGGTTGTCCCCGCCGCAAGACCATACGTGAGGCACACAACTGCCGACTAACGATTGGTGATGGTGCTAAAATATTGATTGACCCCTGAAAGTCCCAAGCGTTGGCCCGGCCTTGGTTCCCTCGGAATGCGAATCAACGCACACTTCGGACGGACAAAGATGATCTAGGCTAAGGATACACTAAGAAGCGTGCTGTTCAGTACCAGAGATCCGAGTACAGTCGTATCCTGTTTGTCAGTGGGAGGAAGGTGGCTCAAGGCCTCGATTGATTGAGTCTTTGACTTTACGCGAGTCCTAGAATCCTTGTATGGGATTGGTAATTGGGAAGCGGGTCTGGATGACTTTAATCTCAATCATCATGTTATGGGGTCAGTGGGGAATTTCTTGTCTTGCATCTTGGCGTTGGAAGCGCACCAACGAAAGTCTAAACATCCTAAAAGTCGGGGGACGGAGGTAGCCAAGTCTATGGTAGTGCATCATTATCATTTAAATTGACAGTGGGAGGGTCCCAAGTAGAATAGATGTATCCGAGACGTTCATTGAGCCGAGTTTGTATGTCCAGTCGCCGCGTACAACGCATCTGGATAGCTAGCTAGACGGGACCTTGTTCCTGACCTGTGCCAGCAATATTACTATTGAGTGTGGCTCATCAACTGCGGGCTGGATGATGAACTGCTCACAGGAAGCGTTCCAATATGTGAGGTTCTAGTACGACCTCCCTAACGGTGACTTACTTGACCTATCCTGTAACTATGTCTGTCCCAATCCCCAGCGGATCATTAAAAACCGAATACTTTCTTTTTTACCTGGACCCTCGGAGTGTAGGCTGGTTCCCCTTCAAGCGTATGTTGGCGGGAATGTAATGGAGGGAAGCCAAGTTAAGGCGCGCTTACCGGGGTTAAATTCGGCGACTCTGCCAAATATGGAACCTTCGGAACGAATCGCGCCTGTGCTTCCCGTATGGGCTTTGGCTATAGCCGGCTTTTCGGCATTCAGAGCGCCTTGGGGACGAGTATCAATTTACAAGACGTCTTTTCCTGTCAACAACCACGATCGCGACAGCAAGTCAAGTGCATCACAATTCCGCTACTCACTTTCCGTCCCCCACTCCCCTCCACCGCGGCTCGCGATTCAAGAGTCAACACCCAGTCTTTGCAACTGTCATCAAATGATGGCTTTTCAATGTACCTCTCAAGAGTTCATTCTGGTTTTTCGCGAACCGAGATTACTGCCGCTGCTATTGGGATCCATACAAATAGCAGGACGAACAAGCCCCCATTTCTTCCCCATCCCCGTCCCCATTCACCCAACCCCTCCCGGTCGGTCGTTGAATCTCCTTCGTCACTATGGGATTGATATGGCTCAAGCACCCCGTACACTGGCGCTCCTCCCGAGTGGCCTCTTACAATTTCACGGGCTGGACTGAGGAGCAGCAGAAATTGGTACAATCGAAGTGGTTCTATGTGCGTATCTCCTCTATCTCTTTTCTTTTCTTTTTGCTCTGACTCCTAACTCCGATTACTGACAATGCCCAAACATTTCTAGTGGTACGAGGCAGACTGGGACTACGCCCAGCCAACCGTCATCTTCTTCTGTGTGGCAGTTGCTTGTGCAATGGGGTTACACGTGATTTTCTTGCTCAGGAACAGGTCAGATTTGTGGTCATCTCCTCCGTGTCGAGCTCGTTTTTTCCTGACATTTCAAGAATGATAGAACATCCTCGGCTAGGCCAGCCTCTGGATTGAAAGGAACACTCAACTCGGCTTTGGACAAGATCACTGCTGTTTTCCGATACACCACCTCCAAACAATACCGTCTCCGCGTGCCGTTCCTCACGTATTACTCGCCCCCGCTCGCTGCTATTATTGCTGTTGCTGGGATCTTCGCATTCATCATGGGTCAGTCTTCTTCATACCGTCGTTGTTGTTTCTTTGTATAACTTAGCTCACACTCTCTCGATGTACTAGGTATGATGCTCGGTCCCCGCCCCTACGAATGGCCGACCATGAAGATGGGGATGAGTGCTCCCATCGCTACGAGGTCTGGATGGCTCGCACTTGCGATGATGCCGTTCATGGTGTACGTTGTAACCCGACCAATCCTGACGCACCTCTAGTTAACGTGGATTCCTATCTCTACTTTGTTTAGCGCCTTCGCTATGAAGGTCAACCTCATAACGATGCTGACAGGCGTATCTCACGAGAAAATGCAAGTCCTGCACCGCTGGACCGCGTTCATTATGTGTATGTCTCGCCTAGTGCTGTGTCGCCTCCGTCACCTTGCTTACCGGCCTTTACTTATTGTCCTCAAGATATCCCCACCCTTGTTCACACGTTCTTCTATATCGTGGGTCAGCTCCAGATGCACTCGATGGAAAAGAGCTGGAGGACGACTAACTGGTACTGGACCGGTGTTGCGGCACTTGTTCCACAAACGTATTTGATCTTTTTCTCGTGGGGTTTCTTCCGCAACCAATACTATGAAATATTCAAAAAGTACGTTCCCGCTTTTGTACGACTTGACGGTTGGGTAGGATACTGATATCTTGTTCGCTTCTGCAGAATACATTTCGTGTAAGTTAAACCCACCTAGTTCTCATCATGTTCGTAACTCTGAATTCTGACGGGGGCTGTACTACTAGTGCCGCGGCTCTATTCATCTTGTTCTTCTTCATCCACTGTTCTTTCCGCTTGACATCTTGGTACGATGATTCACCCACCCTTCCGATCGTAACCGTACTCACGCCTATATCGCTTTCAGGGACTACTTCGCCGTAACCTGGACGATTTTCTTCATCTCTTGGTTCACCCGCCTTTTCCGTGGTTTCTACAACGCCGGCTTTGGTCTTCCCGCCGAAGCTCAACTGCTTCCCGGCAGCAACCTCGTTAAAGTAACGGTCCAAACACCCAACAGGTTGAAATGGAAACCAGGCCAACACGTTTTTATGCGTGTTTTGAACGCCGGGATACACGCAATGAGCAACCACCCGTTTACTGTCTCGAGTCTCACGGAGGATGGAGTTATGGAACTTGTTTTCAATGTCCGGGGACGGAGAGGGATCACCTCTAAATTAGCCAGGATGGCGGAAGGCAAGAGGGCTTCCAGACTGAGGGTTATTATTGATGGGCCGTACGGGGGGTTACCGTGCTCCTTGACGGACTTTGACCATGTGTATCTTTTGGCCGGTGGTACTGGTGAGCGGCCCTTCCTCGCAATGAACGTTGATGTTCTGATACTGACCTTGCTCGGTTATGGGCAGGCGCAACATTTACTATCCCTATTCTGGCGAACCTGGTTGGAAAGACTGGAAACGTGAAGAGTATCGAGTTCATTGCTTCCGTTAAGAAACGGGGTATGTTTCATCAACTGTATGCCTCTTTTTTTGGTTTACTTATACCTCTTTTACCGACGCACTAGATGCCGCAAATTGGATTGTGGATTCTCTCTCAGATAGAAACATCGATATTTTATCCCGCTCAATTCACATTACCGACGCCGAAGACCAGTTCAAGCTATCTCAGAAGAATAACTCAGCCCATGGAAACCACGAAACCGGGCTCTCCCAAGACTTGGAGAAGAAACTGGCGTCCGAAAAACCGGCATCGGGATCTGGCTCGGGGGCAGTAAGTGAAAGCAGCAGCGTAACGGAGCATGCAGGGACAACTACGGAAAAGAATACTGGAGCTAGAACCCCCACGAGCGTTGTCGGTGCTAGTGAGGGGAGCAGTTTGACGGAAATCAACCGATTGGAGACTAGATTGGTTCCTGGAAGACCTGATGTCGAGTGTATCATCCGGGGCGCCCAGAAGCAAAGTGGCAGAGTTGCCATTATTGGTTAGTGTTTCTGGGCTTCTCTCGGCTATCGATTCGTGCTTACTGGTGATGATTCCTCGCCTCGTATGATAGCCTGCGGTCCTGATGGTTTCTTGTACGACGTACGAAGCGCGGTTTCGACGTGCCAACTCAACATCGTGGGTGGAGGAGCCCGCGGTGAATGCACCGACCTTTTCTTGCACACCGAGACTTATAGGTATGATAAAGCATTTCTTTTTCGACTTCGGGCTCTAACGATTTCTCTCTTTCATCCAGTTGGTAGAATAATTAGTAATGGCATAATTTCTTCCATAGGTTTAAGAACTTGTTGGCAATTCAGCATAATTAGTCTTAGAGTTAGTTAATAACCTCAATAATGTCACTCCCATTTCCTTCGTGTGTCTCTGACCGATCATTCTGCGTGTGTCCGACCGTCAGGGTATCCTAAGTATGAGAGTTACATCGTAAGAGTCTTCAATTCCGGTGCGAGGGGGAAGAAGAGAGATAAACCTCGTTCGAAGTGCTATTTGTCAATGGTGCAGGATTTTGACTGTAACATTACTCTGAGAACGTCGAGCTTTATCCAGTTCGCAGACGACAACAATGTTTAATCCTGCCTTGTGGGAGACGCGCTCTTGTCACCTGATGTGAAATTTGCACGTGTCCTCTCGGCAAATGCCGTCAGAGCCTACTGGGCCTGCATTGATATTCTTCAACTCTCATCGGGCCTCAAGGTTACAAAGCGCCTGGTTCGGGATTGCTCCAAACCTATTGAATTTGAACTCAACGATCTGAGGAAAGTACATCAATTTCGATCTCTATCTCTTTGTTGCAGCAGATGCCGCGATTCGCAACTTCACAAAACCGTCCTCAAAATTTGAGTAATCTGCCGGCTATACCATTGTGGCTACTACGCCTTCTGTTGATTGTGGCACTGTCTCGCATCTTTCTTCTGTGGCGTTTATTCTACTTG